ATAATTTTTACAAATTGTAATTTTTTTTATTTCTGACAATTATTAATATACAGAGTATTGAGTTATTTATTTCAATCTCAGACATTGTCATGACTTCAGAATGCAAAGTGATTTTTTTTTCTCCTTGCACTCCATTGGAAGAGATCTTTTCATATATGAACTTGAAACAGCACCTCCAGGCAGATCCACATTAAAACTGACAGGAAAGCACCTTCCAGAAGGGGCTTTTAAACGCACAGGGGGGCTTTGTGATCCATCTCAACCCCAGTCACCTTCATCTTGCCCTCTGTGTTTACGATACACATCTTCTAACAGCCCGCCGAGATCAATGGTCAATGCAGGATGATTGTGCTTCGAAGAAGGCTTTGCAGACACGGATACTTGTCCGTGAGCATGAGAGCCACAAAGATCTCAAAGCCTGTTTTAACAATGTAAAATCATCCTCCAGGTGGTCCAGACGGAACAAACTCATGCTAGTCAAGAGACTGAAGGTGCGGCTGGGTCTTAAGAGTGTGAATGGAGTTTCACTCCTCTTTTGAAATGGCTCATGCCCGCTGTTTTTGCGGTCTTGTCTCCTTTGAAGTTTGAGGTTGAGATGTTACACCAAAGAAAAGCTTTGTGGGAAGTTTTCCATGTGCTGGTATGTCAGCTGAAATAATGGCTGTTTTGACATGACTGGTGCAGAAACTTTAATCTTGGCATCATTCATGTGTCATTCACTGAAATGAAAAAAAAATTGCATTTCATGTCAAAGCACAAAAAAACCACACGCTGGACGCTCGGTTGTTCTGACTGCAGCCCGCATTTCTGTGACATTGTATGTGCTGATGAAACATAGACCTTTATTGTCTTATCTTGAAACCAACACCACAATGTAACCATCACCAGTGACGTAAGAGTAGCGTGCAAGTGTGTGTGTCTCCGAGGATCTGCGGCAAGACTTTGTTCTTCTTTATTTGTTAAACCAATGTTAAAACACCAAGATATCTCTTTAGGATAAAGGCAAGCATCATCATGTGGCATTCAGGCTAGATGTGTGGACCACCAGGCGGAGGTCTTCACATACAGGAATAAAGGTAGTGTCATATGAGCCTAACTCCTTATGCTGAGAGTGATTATGCTCTGATTTGCGGTATAGGGACTGGTGGTGCTTTGTCTGGCTCATCTAGATTTTAGATAGAATGCAATGATAAGTGTCATGAAAGGAGCTTGTCATCAGTTTTTTTGTGTTATTTTTTCCCCACAGCACCATGATGATGGCAGCAGGGGGCAGCTGAAAGGGCTCGGAGTTGGCAGAGATGCAGCATGGGTTGACAGGCAGGCACTCGCTGGTGACAGAGCACCGGAGCTTCTGTCTCTTTGAAGTTTCTTCTCTGTAAGCATTTCTATTCCCAACTCATGTCTTTAAGTTTTAAACAAATTTATAATTTTATTCCGCAAGAACGCGTTATGGGCAGATTCTGTTTCATATAAATGCTGTTCTCTGAACTTACCGTTCATCAAAGAATCCTGAGAAAATGTATCACAGTTTCTACAAAAATAATAAGCAGCACAAATGTTTTTAACACTGATAATAATATCAAACGTTTCTTGAGCAGCAAATCAGCTTATTAGAATGATTTTTGAAGGATCATGTGACATTGAAGACTGGAGTAATGATGCTGAAAATTCAGCCTCGCATCAGAGGAATAAATTACATTTTTAAAAATATATGAAAATAGAAAACATTTATTTAAAATTGTAATAATATTTCACAATATTGCTGTTTTACTGTAGTTTTCTTATATTCTTCTAGTTCAAATCTTACACATTGCATTAGTTTAATACGTTAGTTTAATACAAACTTTTAAATTGCAAATTATATTATTAGCAAAACAATTTAAGTGAAAGGTTGAATTGAAAATTTTACATGAATTTCAGATTGCCTTAGTGTGTTTTTTGTTTGTTTTTTGGGAGGGGGGGGGGGGTTTGTTTTTGTGCATTAGTTTAATACGTTCGTTTAATACAAACTTTTAAATTGCAAATTATATTATTAGCAATACAATTTAAGTGAAAGGTTGAATTGAAAATTTTACATGAATTTCAGATTGCCTTAGTGTGTTTTTTGTTTGTTTTTTGGGAGGGGGGGGGGTTTGTTTTTGCTTTAATGACAAAAAATGGCAATGGTCTCATACAAAGACTCACATGATCAGTGTCACAGATTAGTTTATTTAATTTGGAAATAGTGCAAAATATTTAATATTTATTTTATGTTTTACCTCACATTGTTTCTTTGTTGTAAGAGCAGTGTTGTAGTCAAGACCGGCTCATTCAAGTCCAAGTCATAACCAAGACCAGAAGAGATTCGAGTCCAATTCAAGACTGAGAACACTTTCTCCCAAATCCATGACAAATCCAAGATCATAAAAATATGGTCCTGAAATCTGGCTCATATTATTATAGTCTTGATCTTTGAGTCAGAGTCCAGGACCATATTTTCCTGGTCTTGGTCTTGTCATGGACTTGGGAGCATGTGGATTCGGTCTTGACTCTGTCAACATTGTATTCATCCCCCAGTTTTTTCCCTAGATTTAGAAGAAAAAAAAAAGTTAAAATAAGCAAGAGAAAAATCATACAAAGTATACCACTTATTGAAATTCCCCTAAAAAGTAGCGATACAATGGATTGATTCATTGTAAACACTATATATGATTTTATTCAGGTCAGTAATGGTCTAAAGCAACCAAATGGAGTGTACACTTTCACAAAATAAGATGTTTGCTGTTCTTCTTCTTATCTACACCGCATAGCACAACATTAATGCCATCTAATGTTTCCCCCATATATCCCACAACCCTATGTTATCAGTTCTGCATGTCAATGTCAAGCTTAAAAAGGCTATTTCCTCTTACCTAGAATGTTACCTGTATGTACCGAGGCCAATATTATAGCTGTCATCTCTGTCCAGTGCTCCCTGCATAAAAGAATCTTTTGTTCCAGTTGTAATTTAGACATTATTCAGCTCTCAGGTGCACACACACAGCAGACAGCGGCGAGGAACACTATATCTGCTCTTGAACATGGCATAACTGTTTCTTGTTGACAGAGTGGGATTTCTCAGCAAGACATCACTACATGTTTAATTCTCTGCTTGTTTTTCTTGTAAACGCTGGAAGACATGGAAATGCACATACATGACCCATGCGGGTAAGGAGTGCATTCCCATGATCACCGGTGCTTTTACATCTACAGCAAATCAAAAATGCTCACTCTTTTCTTTTTTTGACAAGCGCTCAAGAACGTAAGAAGAAAAACATATGATGTCTTGAAAGTGACAACATAAACCTTAATGTTTCTCGCCTCAAGGCAACGGATTGTGCACACTGTTGTGATTGGTCACCATCTCTGAAGCTGATCTTGGAGCTCACATCCCTTTCTCAAGAGAGAGAGATGCTTTTGTTTGATGGTGACAGGGGGAATGTCAGACTAAGCAGCGCTTCAGCTCTTCAAAACCTCAGAAAAGCCATAATGTGCACACAGAGCTACTTTGATCTGCTGATTCGTACACATCTGTAACAAGCTCGGAATAAAGCTGAATAGCTGTCACTGTTTTTCGTGTTAGAGTGGGCCATGTGAAGTCAGAGCCATGGAGTTTCTGGAATTATTGGCTGTGAGGAAGAACATTCCTGTAGATGTCTGCAAAGTCTAGCTGCTTTTTGACAAATAAAAGAGTTTCTTTCTTTGAGACTGCTCAAAATCTGTACATGTACTATTTATGGCATCCCATGAAGGAATCTCTTGGGACCAGTGCAGGGATAAATAATGTTTTATTTATTTTGTTGGTTCTACACAAATTGTCAGCATTTTTGTGCAAAAGCTGGTGTAACTCATTCCTTGAATCTAATTTTAGGAATGTAGCTGTCCTACTTTTATTTATTTTTTGTTCCAAGCAAAGTCTGTTCTGTCTGTCATGGTAAAATAATAGTATTGCAGATTGTTAACTGGCGACGGTGGAATAATACCTGCAATTCTGCACTAATTTGTACTACTTTATAGTGCTCAAATAAATGTGAATGAATATAATATCAAATATTTTATATGAAAGAAAGCCTGAATTAATCATTTTCCGGTTTTTATTTTATTTTATTTTATTTTTGACAGGGAATGGCGGGGTAGAGGGCAGAGGGGGGTGTGCATACATTACTGTGGGATAATTAACATCTAAAGCACTGGGTCATTCTGAGCCCTGCTGTGTAAGGAAATGCTGGCACATGCATTCTTCAGCTGCTCACTCGTCTTTAATCAATCGTGATATCTCCACTGGATCTATATGGGAAGGGTATTAAAAGATTAACTGAAACTTAACCAGAATAATGACTTTTGATTTAAAATCTCTATTTGGAGCAAGAGGATGTCATTTTAACGCTTATCTATTACCCGAGACCACAGCGCTGTATGTTGGTGGGAACTCCATCTATACCTGTCTGCCTAACCATTTCCCCTCCAGATAATTACGGCTGGGGTCAGATTGATCTCAGAAACCAAACTTCAAATCAGACGACAGGAAGTTTTTCCAAGCACTTTTTAGAAATAACATTTTAACCCCAAATTAAAGCAGTTCAGTTCAAAGGAAGAAAACACAATGCAACTAAATAATATATATATATATTTTAAATTGCTTGGTAATAATCTTTACTTATTTCTTTATTATAGCCTTCAGTTTTAGTATCTAAAATATAGAAAAATGCAAAGTAGAGCTGACCACATATTATATACACTGCTGTTCAACAGATTGGGGTTTGTGAGATTTTTTTATGTCTTTGAAAGAAGTCTCTTATGCTCACTAAGGCTGTTTTATACAATATATTATTATAATTTAGAATAAGTGTTTTCTGTTTTAATATTATTTGAAAATGTAATTTATTCCTATGATGTGAAGCTGAATTTTCAGCATCATTACTCCAGTCTTCAGTATCACATGATCTTTCAGAAATGATTATAATATGCTGATTTGCTGCTCCAGAAATGTTTATCTTTATTCTATAATATATATATATAGATTTTCTGATGAATAGACAGTTCAAAGGAACAGCATTTATTTTAAATATATATATATAAATGTATTTTCTCTCACATTTTAATGCATCCTTGCTGAATAAAATTATTTTTCTTATATTTCTTGCCCACTTTTGAACAGTAGTACACTCTTAAAAATGAAGGTGCTTCAAAAGGTTCTTCACAGCGATGCCATAGAAGAACCATTTTTGGTTCCACAAAGATGTCTGCCACACCTCCGCAAATTGGTCTGCATCTTTCTTGCAGTAAAATTGATTCATGAATTAATGATCAAATATGACATCAAATCTTTAGTAAAAAATATATATTCAGAGAGCCACCAATTTACCATTTTATTTCAAGAACTAAAAAGTGATAATATCATCAGGATATGATCATTTAACCCCTGACCCCTTCTGTCATCTTCCCATGCTGCCTGTGATAGTGTTTTCAAACACATCTGATGTCTTGTCAGAACCTGCAGTGCTCAGCCCTATGATTTATAAAGTTTTAATTGCATGCGTACACATTGACAGGTGGCCGCTCTTTTTGATATTTACGCTTTGATCTCTGTATATATGATCCCTGCAGGCCATGTCAAAGAAACCAAGACTCTACACATGGGATTTCACCAAGTAAAAACATCCTCTGGATTTCAGGTGCCACTACAGCTGATGATGATGTAGATGGAAAAGACAGCAACATCACACATGGTGTTTTAGTTTCATTAAATTGAACTGAGCCATAACAATCACTGTCAAAACAGAAGCATGAGACTTATTTCCTCATATTGACTAAAAGCTGGACTTTTATTTCCATTTTCGTTTGCAGCAAAATTAAAATTTATGTATGCATTATTATTTAATTAGTTTGTCATTTTGTCATTTTACACACACACACATGCATATACATATACAATGCATATACAATATCTCAATATACTGTACAGTCATTTATCTGTTTACCCTGACAGTTTCCTTTTACACTTTTCCTTTGAAATTTCTTGCACTATACAGAACATAATCACTTTTTTTTCTTAGAATAGTAAGAGAATAAGTGCTAGAAGAAGTGACTGATTTTTTCTCACCGAACAACAAAATCAACCACCGTCCCAATAAGGGAGGAGACTATTGATTTAGGCAACTGGAATCCAGACAAGTGCTTGACAAGCGGAAATAATTTCTCCTCAAGAGACGTCAATAGGTTCTGATGGGGTTATTAAGGGGAATCAAAGATACTTGCATTTAGACAACGAGCAATTTGTCATGTAAACCGAAATCTCCTCACCCTTGAATGCAAAGGAACTCTAGCAGGAACCGAATAAAAGTTAATCAGGAAAACACATGATGAATGA